TCCTTGTAATTTTACTATTTTTTTTTTTTCTGGTGTATCCCGTGAGCCGGCGGGACTCTCCCGGCGTGTGTGTGTGTGTGTCCCCGGGAAGGAGGGAGGGAAAGGAGGGAGGGAAAGGAGGGAGGGCCGGCCCCGTGTGACACGGCCCCCCCCCCGGCCCCTCGAACCGGCTCCCCCGGGACCCTCCCGCTCCCCCTCCTCCTTTTCCGGCCCCCGCCCCGCCCTCGCACCCCCTCCCCGGTAACTTTCGGGTACCTTTCCTCACCGCTCCGGGCCATCAGCGCTCATTAGCGGGGTAGGGTTTCGTGTGTCTAATGGCCCTGTGAGCGGTGATAGCTGCGCGGGGATGCGCCTGGCAGCCCGCGCCGATTTCACTTTCTGTTTTGTGCTCACTTTCTCCGCAGTTGTTGCTCTCCCCGCTCGCTCCCAGCCTCTCTCTCTCTCTCTCTCTCTCTCTCTCTGTGTGTGTCTCTCCCTCCCTTCCCCTCTCCCTCCTCTCTCTCCCTGTGTTGTCTCATCTTGCCTGTGCTGTCTGGGCGGGGGAGCCCTGCCTCCTTTTGCCTTCCTCAGATCAATGCCCTGGCCACTCACTTTCTGATGTTGCACGACGGGAAATGCTTTGAATACTTACGACATGGCCGCTCACATTGATTGCCAAGATTGACAGCAGTAACCATCGCCTTCACTTGTTTCAGGAGGAAAAAAAAAAAAAAAATGAACCTGATTGTAACCAAATCTCCAGGCAACCCATCCGCAAACTTCTAACGATCGGGATCCTGCACATCCATGGCCCGGAGAAACACCAGCAGACTCTAGTTCATTTATTTTATTTTATTTTACCGAATTACTACCCATTTATTCCTCTCCCTTCCCTCCCCCCCCTTTTACCTCCTTCCCTTTTTTTTTTAATTTTTTTTTCTTTTTAATGAAAATTACCGAAGCGCGTTGCAAAAAAAAAAAAGGAGGCTCTCCCAGTGCTTTGTGCCACACTGGATCCCGAGGAGGTAACCAGGAAAACCAGCCCTATTGTGTTGTATACCTGTTGTTTGCTGTGGTGTGTAGTGCTGCGTGGCTTGGTGGCGGTGGCGGCGGTTTAATGGGTTTTCGCTGGATTTATGTCGCTTTGCAGGAGAGAATTCGGTTCCCCCTGCGCTGTCTTTAATGGGTTATTAGTTGCAATTGAGTGAAGCAGCAGCGTCCGGAGATAGATCTGTTGTTTAGCTTTTAACATTGCTGAATTCACCCCTTCCCCCGCCTCCCCCCTGCACGATTATTTACTTTTATATCACGAGGGTGTTGTGTTTCTTTTTTCTTCCTCATTTTTTTTTCCTCCCCCCCCCCCCCCCCCCTTCTCTTTAGGGAAAAGTAGTTATAGTCTCGTCCCCGTGCGAGTTTCCGGGGCTGT